GTATAATTTGCATGTGGTATACCGTTGATAGCAATTTATTTACTGGACAATAGACGCAATTAATTGTGTTGCAAAATTAACATGTGAGAAGTAGACATGGTAGGCAAATAATAAGAGGGTGCATGTTCAAAATGTACTACAAATTCAATAGAGAATATAAAAAATTTGTAATTAATATTGACTAAATTATTTATAATTTACCTTGATCTAGTTAGGAAGATGTTATGAGTTCTGCTCTTCTCGTCCTTCCCAATCATGGAAATCGTGTACTCACTTATTGATTAGCAATGTCATATATGAGCTTGCTATTGAACTTCACATCATTCCTTCAATTTGTAAGAGATGAGAAACTGATAATCCTCTCATTCTATCGTTGTATAGGAATAGCATTTTAGCTGGCATTTTCGAAAAATCCATCTCCCACTTAATCCATAACAACAAAAGTTAGCATCGGTGGTTTTCCCCTCAACTCGAAGGTGGTTCCTGAATAAGTATAATGTTAGTAATGACATAAACATCAATAGAATCTAATACTTCTGTGGACAGGTTTCACATCCAGCATAACATTACCCTTCTTAACTTTGACAACTTGGTTTTTTATGAAATACATATTACATAAAATGTTAGCATTTGATAGTTAATGGGCTATTAAATTGAAACTGATACTTACTTCTTCTACATCCTTCATTTTTAACCGATTTAGCTTCTGCATTGTTTTGGTTGAAATTAGTTGTTGATGTGCTTTCTAACTTTTCATTGGAAGAGTTGGCCAATCTCAGTCACTTTTTTACCACAAAAAATGATAATTGATTAATTTTTCTATTTGAAACTTCATACTTATAACAGGCAACCAAATACAGTGATTAATTTGTCATGAATTTCACATCGCCCCAAAAATAATGATTCTTGAATTATTGGATATTCCAATAGCAAAGTCACTCTAGATGAGGATAAGGTTTTCTCGCTTGCAAATTTGTTGATCGTTTAATTAAATGTCATATTTATTTGCAAAATGGTTTGATTAATAATAAAAAGTAATAAAGATGTTTCCTTACTATTGTATGAAACGACATGTAATGATGTAATGACCAGGATGAGAGGGCGGTTACCCGCATTTGTAATGATGACATTAATTGGGTAACTATCTTACCAAAGAGAATTATCTTGACAACCAATCCCCAACACCCTTTTGCGATTAGTGCTAAAGTAATGCATCTATTTTAAACTGAAAAATGAATTAAATACTTGGGAAGTTTTAGTTCGAGCCTCCTCGCATGTAATTTTTTCAGTGAGTGTTAGATATCAATTAACCCGAATACTGAATAAGTTGACCAACAACATTCGTGGAATAATTTTTTTAAAAAGTTCATTAATGTTTTTGGCAGCATACACATTATATTGAAGTAAACTTGAATTGAGAATAGTAATTTGAACCTGAAAGAAAGTTTATTTGGTTGCACTTCTTGTTAAATGAAATTAAACTTGCAAGCTAGTGTAGCTGGAATATCATTGCATGCTTCACCTTTTTTGTTTGATTCAAACTTGATGACCAAGTTGTTTAGAATTGGCCTATAACCTCTCATTGTCATACTGGCCATAAAGGATAGTGTGTAAACTCTCTAGTCATGTAACAGGGGACGAAAGTCCTTGTTTTTCCCTTTGAAAATTTGCACCCAAATATCATTATCTTGAAGAAAATAGTAGGAATATTAAAAAAAATTCAAAAAATTGAATCATAGAGTTGAATTCGGGTGGTTGTTGTTAGTTTACACTTTAAGTCGATAACTATCATACCGAGTCAAAGAATAATATATGTCTTGGGATTGATTGGTAGCCACTTCCTCAGAATCTTATATTGAAGAATCCAACTCCTCTTTTAAGTTGTGAGATTAGATATCAACTTGGATTATATATGGACTAATTTCCAATTATAACAACAGTGAAACAAATTTCTTTTTGTTTCACAATGGATATAAGATTAACTCACTAAATGTGTAATAATCTAGATCTTGATTATTTAGTGTGTGAATAAAAGAAAAAGAGATTAGCTTTTTCTAAAATAAGAATCTTGGCATATATAACCATGTATATTATATTGGTAGTAAAATTCAAGTTAAAACTTGTCAAAAGTGTAGTATTTTGACTAAGAAAAGAGTTACAAAATTGCGAACGATAACAAACAAATAGCTAATATTTGTTGCGTTACAAAAGATTTGGCTGCTATTTTATATTTTTAAAGTTATGACTAATAATTTGAAAAGTTTGGAAGGTTTGGCTAATAAATTTTATTTACCCTAAAACTAAATTAAATAAAAAAAAGCAAAGTTTGAATAATTGTAGCACTTACATACAATTTAATCCTCCCACAACCATGAATATACGTGAATGAAAATATTAATTTCTACTACCAATAGATAATAACATGCTAGTACGCAGTGGCGTAAAATAGTTTTGTTAGTTTTTTAAATCATTCATTATATAATTATGTATTTACAAAAACTTGATAAATTAAATATATGTCGAAACTATAAAAAATATCACTCTATATGTATCAAAAAATCATTCACGACTTAGTCAAGACCGTTTAGTATCTATAACTCGAATTGTTGGCAAAGATTTAATAATGGATTTTATAGTATTTAGTATTTACTAACACTTACCTTCTAACCAAAAACCAACTTATACATGCTTAAATTTTCGAATTAGAAGTACCCTAAATTTCATTCTCAATTAACTATTATACTAATTTACTCATATTCGTCCTATGGAGCCACCCATTACACTCTCTATATCCCTGATTGAAATAAAAATATTTTTCAGATTAGCTATGATTTGCTGAAAATTTGTTGTATATATTGAATAAGTACATCTTTAATTTTGAGCGGATCATATGCATCATTTTCATTTGTACATAGCTCGTTATATAAACATTAAATATGTCAATACACAACGTATATATCATACATAATGCCTAATAAGAGTTATGCTTGTGTAATATAATAATCGCAACATAAATTGCTTCGACCTGGTGAATGGCGGAACCTCCATAATGTATTGTTTGATTCGAGTGCATAAATTAAATTATTGTCATTTATAAATCTTAATAAATAGTTGGTGTTATGTTATAAATGGACTTGTACATATTTGTATGTGGTGGTAAAAAATATATGTATATATTTTTAAAATTTTTGCTAACTTTTTGTAAGGATTATGGTGCATCATAAACGTGCTCATGTCGACATACATGCTTATCTATAAGACAGGTTGTGAGTTTTACATAAATCAAAATCAAACTCTACTACTCTGATTGTTATTCTCCGCTTATCAAATTGTCGTTTGGTTTTGGTGATAGTTTGGTGAGAATAGTTACAATACATGCACAGTGCACAATGCATTGTTTTTTTTTATTTTTATTTTCTACACAAATAATACATACATTGTTTGCTTAATTTGACACAAACTATCACTCAAAATGAGTGATAGTTAAATCTCAAGTTTTGGTTGAGATTGTTGAGATAGTTTGGTAGAGATTGTTGAGTTTTCTTTTGTTCCAACTATGTCCTTACCTTTTTATGTGTTTTATTTTTTTAATATTAAAAATAAAGGATAAAAGTGACATTTCAACTAAAAAGTAATATGAGTTATTTAAATATTTGAATAACTATCACAGAAACCAAATGATATAAACTACAATACACCAATTTTCTTATACACATATATATTATTATGCATACATTGATGACAATATATCAATTTAACTATCACCAAAACCAAACGACCCCCAAATCATAAATGTTTCTTCTTGCCTCCAAGTTCCAACCTTGAGAATGAAAAATATGTTTTAGAAACAAATTTATATATGAAAACACGTTAGGATCATTCTAAAATCTAAACGATGCTAGCTAACAAATTTTTTATTTGGACCAACCTCAACTAAAGTCTAAAATTCTAGCTACACCATTATATATGGTTAAGGCTAGCATATGCTATACGCATGCGTTCACACTATGGTACGTCCGTTGAGTTTTACTGTTTACACCACAAATTAACAGAAATTTGTAGCATGATACTATATCCTAATTATTTGTAAAAAAAAAAAAAACTATATCCTAACCTCTAATGGGTGAACCCTAGTCCCCAATTTTATAAATTGTACCGTAAAATTCATTTGATCTAAAAAAAATAACCGATGAATCTGATCCGTCGAAATCTATCATATTACAAATAATAAACGTGAATGCGAGCATATTACATATGTCAGGCGTACGCTGGCCTTTGCCATATATATAACCATGTATAAATATCCACATATGGGTACATAAAAACTGTATTGAAACAATTCTTGTTAATAAATAAATCCGCAACTTCGAATATGGAATTGAAAGGGATCAAATAGAAAATGATACTCTGAATCATATAACTATAATGAAATATATTGTTTACTTAACAATGATTGCCTCATGATTAGTGGTAATTAAGTACCAAATCAGGAGAGAAAAAACAATTAGTAGCAAGAGATTGATATTTACGCATAAATTGTTCTTACCTACCATAAAGTTCCTAGTAATAAAAATATAATATACAAATAAAACAATGAAGGCTATTCCTTAGGCTTAATTGCAAGTTTGGTCACTCGAATTGTTACAAAATTTCACGTTTGCCACTCAAATTAATTTATTCCATTTATAGTCACTTAAATTAGGTTAACAGTCCAAGTTTGGTCACTGGCCGTTAGTCTCCGTTAACTTTTGCTGATGTGGCGGTCAACTCTTATAGTTGACCGTTAAATGAGTGACGTGGCAATTAAAAAATTAATAAAATAATTTAATTTAATTATTTTTTATTTTCCACCTAATTATTATAAAATAAAAAAACCTAATTCCTTTTAATTGTTATTTTCCACCGCCCGTAGCCGTACCTCTCCCCTCAGGTCGACGACCTCTCCCAGCCGGCCAAGCCCCGCGTGGTGGAGGAGAAGTAGGCTGTGGCAATTCAAGGTAGGCTGAGAGGCTCGTTATGTTCAGCGATCCCGTGCCTGTGGGTAGCTTGCAGTGAAGCCAACTCCCAAGTATGAAATCCACCTAAGAAAATGAAACAGATTGACCAAAATTAGCTTCAATTTGATTGTTTTTCTTAAGAACCCTAATTGAATTGGGGAATTTGTATTTTTACCGGGGAGGAATGGTGGCCGGGGCGGATGTGGAGGGAGGCGTGGGCGGTGTCGGGATCGTTGCGGCAGTACTGGGCGTCTGGCGGGAGAGTTGAAGGGAGGAGGTGAGCGGCGAGGCGATTCTCGATGGTGGAGACGAGGTCGACCATGGCGTCTCTGATGGGGGTGGAGGCGAAGGGGAAGTCCATGAATTTGAGGCGGTCGTCGTCGTCGGCCATTTGTGGTGCTGGTGAAGAGAGTGCAACTAAGGAGGTGGTTTTGGTGGCTGGGGAATTGGGGGAAGAAGAGGTGAGAAGAGGGAGAGATTTGGAAGGGAATCGAGAAGAGGAGAGACCGGTGAAGGAGAAGAAGGAGGCTGTGCAGACTCTGTATCAAGCAAACAGAGTTATACACAGAAACATACACAGACACTCGATTAATTAGTAATTACCTCGGATGTTCTCGAGAAGCTGTTCTTCAGAGATGTAGATCCTCTCCAGCTTCTTGCCGATTTTCTTCTCCCACAAGGTAACAAGATCGTTGAAGCAGATCGTATTGGCCGGCGGCCTAATGTACACGATCTTGTTCAAGGTCATCGGGTCATCCACAGCCTCCTCCTCCGCCACCGCCTACTTATCCTCCACCACTCGGGGCTTGGCCGGCCGGGGGAGGTCGTCGACCTGAGAGGAGAGGAACGGCGACTGGCGGTGGAAAATAATAATTAAAAGGAATTAGGATTTTTTTTTATAATAATTAGGTGGAAAATAAAAATAATTAATTTAAATTATTTTTTAATTTTTTAATTGCCACGTCATGCATTTAACGGTCAACTATAAGAGTTGACCGCCACATCAGCAAAAGTTAACGGAGACTAACGGCCAGTGACCAAACTTGGACTGTTAACCTAATTTAAGTGACTATAAATGGAATAAATTAATTTGAGTGGCAAACGTGAAATTTTGTAGCAATTCGAGTGACCAAACTTGCAATTAAGCCCTATTCCTTAGTTAGAGTCTCGATCCTGCCCATCAAAAAGACAAACAAACCCTCCCTAACTATGCGCAGGAGCCGGGAAAAAGGCAATACGGTGGGTTGTTAAGGAGAACCTCCTTATATTGTTTGGAGGATAATGCCGAAAGTAATCTTACGTGGACTCATTTGATTGGGTGACCCACATCACGGCCACGGAAAAGGAAATTAAAAAGCAAAAAGTAAGAGAAGAGCAGAGCACAATGAACTCAGTCGACTGCGCCACAGTTGTTCTTTCTTCTTCCTTCATCTTCAAGCCTCTGGCCGAAGTCTTGAGATCACCGTTGGCGTGAAAAAGAAGGCACGTAGAAGGAAGTGGAACTCCAGATTTCCTGTCCATTCGACGTTTTTGGAGACACAAACCGAGACAGTAAAGCAGCAGAGGAAGCTACTCCTGGCGCCGACGCATGAATGGAGAAGACCGCCATGGCTGCCGCTGTTTGGATGGTCCCATTGCTACTGGTGTTTGCGCAGTTCAGTGAAGCTAATGGAGAAGGTTTCGACGTTCGCCAGCATCTCTCCACAGTGTCCAGGTAAACCGGAACAAAATTTCTTCGTTTCCGGCGAGCTTTGACGGAATTGAGTTTTGTTTGGATAGTCTCGCTTCGGTGATTGTTCGTATTTGGGATTGAATTATTGGATCGAAAGTGCTTGCCGTCGTTGATGAAGAATTTGTAATTTAGATTCCTCTGCGTGCAGATATGGCGCTGTCAAAGATATCGTTGTCAACAGTACCTTTGTTCCATCCAATGCCGTTGATGGCTGCACTCCAATTCACTTGAACCTTGTGGTAATTGACATTCAATCACTGCTATTTCACTGAATTCGCAGTTGGTGGAACGTTTTATTTTTTCATTCTTAACACACTTGCGACAATTAGTTTGGTTAGAGAACGGTGAATTTTGGTATGTTGGCCCTATTAGTATACGCGTTTCCATGGGTGAGCTTCTGGAACCTCTTTTGAATTTCAATTGCTTACTGATTAGCAGTATATTGATGTTCCAAGCAGTACAATCCAATGGCTAATCTCTGACTTGTTTCCCCCCTCTATTATGTCCCTTGTGATAGTTTGATGATTTTTCCTGACTTATTGGTGTTCTAGGCAAGACACGGGACTCGTTCTCCAACCAAGAAGCGGATGAGAGAATTAGACAGGTTGGCTTCTCACCTGAAAGAGCTGATAAGCCATGCTGAACAAAAGAAATTGTCTTTGGATAAGCTTCCTGCCTGGGTGCGGAGTTGGGAGTCGCCATGGAAAGGTAAATTGAAAGGAGGAGAGTTGATTAGTCCAGGGGAGCAGGAATTGTATGATCTTGGAATGAGGACTCGAGAAAGGTTCCCGCAGTTGTTCGAGGAGCCATACTATCCGGATGTTTACGTGATAAAGGCTACACAGGTGAGTTTTTTTGGTTTTGTTCAGGACAAAAAAGATCGCTACTGTTTTTAGTCTTTGGTAGAGATTTGCTAAATGGAAAGATCAAATTTTAAACTTGATATTGGAATCAGTCCTACGTAGCTGACTACCTTCTGGTCCTCTTTGATGCTATAGATTCCTCGGGCATCAGCGAGTGCTGTGGCATTTGGTATGGGGCTATTAACTGGGAAAGGGAAACTTGGACCGGCGGAACACAAAGCTTTCGCTGTTACCAGTGAAAGTCGTGCAAGTGATTTAATGCTTAGGTTTTTCGAAAGCTGTCAAAGCTACAAGGTACAGAGCATTTCCCTCATTTCACCATTTAACAATACGCTCCTCCATAGTAATCAATCTATTTGCTTGACTCTATAAACAAACATTTTATTTCATTTGAAGCAGTTAGGGTGATGAATATAATTTATTGATGGGTTCTTGAGAGCCATGTGTAATCAATAGATATGTTGATTTCTAACTGTAGGTCTATAGGCAAAACAAAGAGCCTTCTGTTGCCGAGCTGAAGGAACCTGTCTTAGATAAAATTACTGCTGCACTAGTAAGCCGTTATGGTTTAGATTTCACTCGACAGGATACAGCTTCTCTCTGGTTTCTTTGTAAACAGGTGATGTGTTTGCATTATGCTGCAAGCTTTCAACAATGTTCCTCTCTGATAAGCGCCATTTGTTTTGTTCTGCTTTATCACTAATACTTTTCCCCAACTCTTGCTGTTCATTCCTGATTTTCCAGGAAGCTTCATTGTTGGACGTTACAAATCAAGCTTGTGATCTTTTTAAACCTTCCGAGGTAGGTTAGGGCTTTGTTAACAATTCCATTTTGGAATCCTTTTTTCTTAATCTCATTAGTTATGAACTCTGCAATTTTTCTCATTGACTGAACTCTTAAATTCTAAATCTGCTATATCTGGATTTTTAAGTTGTGTTCACTTACACAATACAGCTCTTTTTCTGTCTCTCTACTCTTAAGGTGTGTGGGGGGGGGGGGGGGGGGGGGGGGGGGGGGGCACTTTGCATTGTCGATTAAATTAAGAAAATGTGTATGATATCTGATCTTTGAAATAATTAAATAAATAAAAGCTTTAGTGATAGCTTATAAGTACTAGACAAATACTTTGTTTCCTTAGCTGTGGGATCTGAAGTGCGAATTATTGCAGGTTGAATTATTGGAGTGGACGGATGACTTGGAGGTTTTCTTACTGAAGGGTTATGGTAATTCAATAAACTATAAGATGGGCGTGCCATTGCTTGAGGACATTGTACAATCCATGGAACAAGCTATTAAGTCACATGAAGGTATTGTAGACCATCACACTTTTATGTGTTAATCAGGGAAGCTTTTCTCTGAGGAATGTTGTTGGACAAGATTCTTAACTGTAGGTTGAAACCTGAACGGATATATGTTTATGGTGAAGGAACGTTGATCACACTTTTATGTGTTAATCAGGGAAGCTTTTCTCTGAGGAATGTAGTTGGACAAGATTCTTAACTGTAGGTTGAAACCTGAATGGATATATGTTTATGGTATAGGGAACGTTGATAAACTCATTTGGTCTCCTCTTAATCTATCTGTGACCCCGGTTCCTAGCCACTTGATGTAGTGGACCATCTTAAAGCGATTAAAGTTTATAGATGTCTGCAACAGCAATGCCAGAGATGACACATATTATCTGTTGCTGCGAAAATGTGAAGGGTTTGACATAGTTTATAAACATTATGTCCTTCCCAAATAAGCTCCATAGATATGTTTTTATTTCTAAGGTTTAACGAAGTAAACTTTTTAGCTTGATATGTTTGGAGATAATATCAGCTACCGGCATGTTGTGACCACCAAGTTTATCATGTTTCATCAATGGTCATATTGTGTACAAAAATCATAATTTGATAACCCTTGTACTTGTTTTCGGCCTTCATTGCATGTAGAAAAACAGCCTCCTGGAAGTTATGAAAAGGCAAGATTGAGATTCGCACATGCTGAGACCGTGGTTCCTTTTTCATGTCTGCTTGGGCTTTTCCTTGAAGGATCTGGTAAGTCTTATGTTTTTGTAAGGGCCGTTTCTTTTTCCCATTGTTTGTTCAACTAGAATATTATCATACCTGTACATGTTGCAGTTTCTGTTGAAAGATGGTGTTAGTCCTGGCCTGTTAAAATGTACGGTTCTTGATCACTTTCAGAATTTAAAAAGATACAAAAGGAGCAACCTCTAGATCTCCCTCCCACGCCTCCAATGAAAAGCCACACAAGAGGCAGTGCTGTGGCACCTTTTGCTGGGAATAACATGTTGGTCCTACACAGTTGCCCGGCATCCTCTTCTTCTAGCAAGTACTATATCCAAGTCCTCCACAATGAGCGTCCCATCCCAATGCCAGTAATGTCTCCCTCTTTATCATCCCTCTCTGTTCCTTAACCAGTTTTTTTTTTTATAAAGTTGTGGTTCAATTTTTTGATATGTTGAGAAATCCAATCTGATTCTTGTACAGGGTTGTGGTGGTTCTGACGTATGCCCGTTTGAAGAGTTCAAGGTACTCTGTCCTTGTTCCTTTAGCATTTCCTAAAAAAACATACCCGCATCTTCCAACTTTTTGTGTTCTGCAGTGATTTTCGTCCGTGTTTCTAACTAGTTTCTGTTTTCGACAGGAGAAGATAGTGAATCCTCATCTAAAGCATGACTACACAGCACTCTGCGCT